ACCTACTTTCCAACTTTGCTAAGGGCTACCCTTAAGCCAGAGTGATCCTGTACCCAGCTCCTGAGATGCCAGGGTTAGGTGATATAAGATAGAGAGATATCACTGAAAGCTGAATCTGAGCCCTGGCTTCATATCTTGGCTCTGCTACTTATGACCTGTGTAAACTCAGGCAATACATTTCATGTCCCCTTTCCTTTCCTCATTTGTAAAATGAAGGGACTGAACTAGTACCACGTTCCTGTTTCCTTGTCTGTACAGGATCACAGGGCCATAACTTTAAGTTAAAAAAGACCTTGGCAGTTATGTAGGCCAACGCACTCATTTTAACTGATTGTAGCATCTTGAGGCTAGAGTTGGAAGCTGGAACTGGGACCTCAGAGGCCATGTAGTCAACCCCTTCAGCAGATAAACTGAGGCTCAGGCAGTCTGAATGTCTTGCATTGACAAGGTCAGGGTCATAGTTTCTAAAATGGCAGAGCTAGGATTCAAACCTTCTGATTCCAAATGTAGCCATTTTTAACCCGCTGGGGATAGAGCAATGCCTAGGTCTAACCCTGGGTGAAATATTTGGCATCCCCTCATCTCTAGACCTTTGACCTCGAACCCTAGTTCTCCAGTGCTTAGGTGACTACTGGGAAAGGATTAAGTGAGTCTTAAATGTAGCTCCCACCCTCCCTCTCACTCAGACGGGGCTCTGGCTACACAGAAGAAAACAACTTCAGAGAGAGGGGCCTAAAGGTGCTGCTTCCTCTTCTGCGGTGAGGGGCAATGGGGAGGGGAGGGGAGGCTTAGGCAGGCACTTCCTTTGCACCTGCTCCGACCCTCTCCTACTCTAGAAAATCATTGAGCCTCTACTACGGATGTTTTGATTGATTTATGCTAAGGTAGCAGGCAGGAAGAAACAGCTGACGCACATCCAGCCCTAGCGTGGCCAAGGAGAAAGCCTGGAGTCTCCCTGTGGCTCTGGGAGATTTGAAAAGGAGCCACTGGGCACCTACCACTTCCTTGCAGTGACAGGACTATGAAAAGCTTCGCTTCGTGTGACCTTGAACATGAACATAACTCCCTGGACCTCATTTCCTCTTCTATAGAAGGAGGCCTAGAACTAAACGGTGATTAAAGCCCTTTCTTGGGCAGCTAGGCAGTGCAGTGGATAGAGCTCCAGGCCCGGAGTCAAGAAGACTCATCTTCCTGAGTTTAAATCCAGCCTTAGACACTTACTAGCAGTGTGACCCTGGGGAAGTCATGTAACTCTGCTGGCCTCAGTTTCCTCAACTGTAAAATGAGCTGGAGAAGGAAGTAGCAAACCTTTGCCAAGAACCCCCACCCCCACTACCAAATGAGTCACACAGAGTCAGACAGGACTCAACAGTAACCAAAAAGCCCTTTTTAGCTTTAGCATTCTCTGGGCCTATGAATCATTCATCCTTTAATCAAAATAATGATTCCTGCATTTCCACAGAATTTCCACATCAAAGACTGCATGTCAATGGCAGCAGATTTAGAGCTTAGGAGTTTAGTCTAGGATTTAGAGTTGGGAAGCTGGGTTCAAATCCTGACTCTGACACCTCCAAGCTGCCTGCGATCAGGGGAATTCACTGAACCTCCTCAGAGCCTGTTTCCTCATGTGTAAATAATGATGCTCATACTTACACTACTTCCCTCTGTCAGCCAGTTAATCACCTGGCATTTGTAAAGAGCCTACTGTGTGCCAGACACTGTGCTAAGCACTGGGAGCTGGTGGCCCAGCGCCAGAAAGAACAATGAGCCTGTTCAGATCCAGCTTCAGACAAGTGTGACCCTGGACAAGTCATTTATCCTCTGTTTGCCTCAGTTTCTTCAACAGTAAAATGGGTATAATAACAGCACTCTCAGGGTTATTGTGAGGATCAAGTAAGATAAGCACTTAGCACAGTACCTAGCCTGTAAAATGGGGATAATAACATCGTAGGTACCATACAAATGCTTATTCCCTCCTTCTCTTCCCTGGGTATAGAAAAAAAGGGCAAAAACATAATCCCTACCCTCAAGTAGCTCACAGTCTAACTGGGGAGACAACATGAAAACAACCCAACCATGTACACACAAGCTAAATACGGGATAATTGGAGATAATTTTGTGGGGAAACGCTTGGGATTTTAGCTGAGATCTGAAGGATGCCAGGGGAGCCAGAAAATCTAAATGAGGAAGGAGAGAGTTCTCTCACAGAGCTGGTGTGAAGAAAGTACTTTGTACAATCAAAGTGCTAGGTACATGTAAGCTATTATTATCCTCACAACAAGCCTGTGGCAGCTCAGGGTAGCTATTATTATACCCTGATTTTAAGCTTGAGCAAATTGGGCCCCAAGGAGGCTAAATGATTTAACTTGAAGTCACTCAGAATGTTGGTGCAGGGCCGTGGGTAGACCATGGAAGTCTATTAAAAATCTCCAACTGAAAATATTAAGAAATACATATTTTTCTAAAATCTTTTCCAGACTTTGTCATTTAGCAAAGTGTAGGAAATGTCAAGAATGTGAAAGCGGATGAAGGGAGATTACCCAACTCAGAACAAAAAATGTCTCTTGTCTCATTAAGATCATTGACTTCCCCATCCCCTGAAGGCATAAGACTTCCAGGTGTGGGCTGGAGTCACCGCTTACTGTTTTGGAGAGGTGGTTGTTAAAATCTCATCATGGCTACTTACACCCCAGAAATTAGTAAATGCTCCAAATCGTGGTTTGATTTATTGTTCTGTCAATTGTCTACACTTAAGAAAGTGATGGGAAAATGTCGATAATACAGATTAAACTTAAGGGTGTATCTTGAGCACACTTTCAGGGGGGAAGAGGAGAGCCAGTTGTTAAATATTTACAGCAAACTCGGGCAACCTCCTCTTGTCCCTTCTGAAGGGATTCGTGTATAGAACTCTGGGAGGAAGTTCTTTTAATTACTCTGGGAGAGCCCTTGAGAAAAGTGGTCGAAGAAAGAATTAAGTAATTTTAGAAAATGAATTTATTATTGCCTGGTAGGTAGAATAGAATGTTAACCCCAAATTGCATTTTAATCATATTGTGGCCTTTTCCTTGTTTAAAGTTCCTATGAAAAATATTTCATATCATCTTGTGTTAGAGAAACATCAGATGGAATGGGGTAGAATTCTGTCAGATTGGATAATTCTCTTTAATCTGGAATGGCTTGGATTTCAAATAATGATAAATTAATAGAAGTTGTTTCTGGCAATGCAGAATACAAATGTCAATATTTTTTCTTTGACAAATTTCAAGTGTCTTGACTCCCATTTTGAGATATTGCCATCTCTTCCTCCTCCCCCACTCCTCCATTGTTCATTAACTACTTGTCCCCTAGCCCTCTACATGGCACCTTGTATGCTTTGAAGCATCTCTTTTATTTGTTTGTTTTGGTGACGCAACAGGGGTTAAGTGACTTGTTCAGGGTCACACAGCTAGTGTCAAATGTCTCAGGACGGATTTGAACTCAGGTCCTCCTGACTCCAAGGCCAGAGCTCTATCTACTGCGCCACCTACCTGTCCCTGAAGCATCTCTTTCTGAGGTGCTTCTAACCCAAAAGAGAGTATGACCATATCCTGTGTGCCAACAGCCATATCCTAAGATGGAGAAGATCAGTGCTGGACAGCAGCCATACTCCTTGCTAGATGTGTGGGTAGGTTGTGGGGAAGAATAACTGTGAGAAGAGGCCTTTGAGAAGACTTCACAGGAAGCCATGAGACGTTAGAGCCGAGAGGAACTTCAGAAGTTGCAGAGTCCAACTCTAGCATTTTATAGGTAATTGAAGTGATTTGCTGAAGGTCACACAACTAGTCAGTGGCAGAGCCAAGCAAACATTCGTTAAGTGCAACTATGTGCCAGGCATTCTGTTTGGTGTTGGGATACAAAGACAGGAATGAAACAGCCCTGCCCTCAATAAAGTTCAGTGACAACTTTTCACCCCAGGACCAAATATTCAAATACAAAACGCCCTGTTGGCATTCAAAGCCCTTCATAACCTAGCTCCCCCTACCTTTCTAGTCTTCTTACATTTTACTGCTTGACAGGTGCTCTTCCACTCAGTGACACTGGCCTTCTGGCCATTTCACAAACAAGACAACTCCATCTCTCAGCTCCAGGCATTGTCTCTGGTTCTCCCCTATGTGTAGAATGCTCTCCCACTTCAGCTCTGCCTGCTGACTTCCCTGGCTTCCTTTAAGTCCTAACTTAAATCACATCTTTAACTGGTAGCCTTCCCCACCCCTTCTTAATTCTGGAGCCTTCTTTATTATTTCCTCTTAATTATTTCCTATTTATCCTGTAAATAACTGCTTTTTATATATTTTTGCATGTTATGTCTCCCATTAGACTATAAACTCCATGAGAATAGAGACAATCTTGCCTCTTTTTGTATTGCCAGCACTTAACACAGTGCCTGGCATACAGTAGGCACTCAATAAATGCTGATTGATTGAAAATTGAGACAATCCTTTCTCTCAAAGAGCTCACATTCTAATTAGGGGCAATATCACATAAAGGATGGAAAGACCAGGTAGCAAATGGCACCTTACCAAGGGGATAGTGAGTCCAAGAGTCAGAGTGGAGTGGGGCTCTGGGGTAACTCTAGCAGAGACAAGGTTATGGAGGTCAGCATCCAGCTGGATATGGGTAGCCTGTGCCTAGCAGGAATTGGGCATTGAGGCAATGAATGTAGGTTGAGAGACACAAGACATGCCTAGAATAGAATCCAGGTGTGGAGCAGATGACCCCTAACCTGCCAAGTCTCTAAATATCTGTAAAGCACATTATGTTCTTCAGGGTAAAGGTGCTGAAGGCCAGTAAAGAAACATCATTACTAGCAACTACCACTAGTAATGAGGTGACGCTGTGCTCCTAGACCCTGTGTTCATTCTCACCCCCTTTCAACCGCATATGTAATTTCCTCTGTGATCAGCTGATATTTTTCTTTCAGCATGAAAGAGTTTGTAAACAAGATTGCCTACTATTTCCTCGTTTCTAACTTTTGCTCTTCATCAGGACCAGAAGCATCAGTCTTAGAGAGTGAAAGTTTCCTGTGTAGGCTGCGTGTCCCTCTTCCTCTCTAGCCCAGGTGAGGCTGGGATGTGATCTATTCCTGCAAGGGAATCATGGAAGTCTTTTTCTGGATACTTTTCTTCTTACCAAGTAAGTGCTTCAGGGAAGGACCAGATCTTGGCTTTCTCCAGGGGTTGGGTTGCAGCACCAGAGGGTACCCTCCTGCTTCCCTTTCAGATAACTTGAGAGGTAGCATAACTTTGTGGATAGTGTTAGGAAGACCTGGGTTCATAACCTGACTCAGATACTTGCTAACGATGTGACCTTGGGCCATTCACTTTACCTCTGTCCGCCTCAGTTTCCTCATCTATGAAAGATAGAATAGGACTCGATGACTGCTAAAGCCCTTTCCAATCCTAAATCTATGCCTTTGATATATCTTTTCCCACTCTGGCCAGAATTTGACCCTCCTGATGAATTATTATTGGCTAAAAATTTAAGAATTTACCCCAATTTGACTTATTGCCATTCTGATGAAGGTCTCTTGGTGACTGAAAAGTATTCAGAACCTAAAGGAATTTAATGGTGGAATTCTAGGTGGTAAAGCAGGTAGATGAGGAAAAAGATGTTGGGAGTAGGGATTTGGGAATAGGGGTCTCCTGGGCATTCCTCAGAATAGAAGAGATGACCTCAGAGATTCCTTCCAACTCTAAACTTCTGATCTTGTGCTTCTATGCCATATAATATTCTATTTCTCATGGGGAAAAAAAAGAGTGAGTTGGAAAGGAGGACCATTCGTCCTTGGCCTCAAGGTTAAAGAGGGTTTCTAATTTCATATTTATAAGCATTTATTCTCTCCCTTCCATTGTCCCACCCCAAAGTAAACAATTTTTAAAACTCAAAAGAAATAAACAAAACCTCACAACAACTTGGCCAGACAAATAGTCTGGCAAAACTAACTCCAACATTGGCTATGTACAAAATCACCTTTCATTCTGGATTTTAAGTAGCTTGCTTTTCTAGCAGGAGGTGGGTGATGTTTCATCTTCAGTCCTATGGACCAACTGTTTATCATTATATTCATCTGAGTTCTAAAGTTTTTAAAAGATATCTTTCTTTTGCAAAGATTATTCACTTAATCCTGTTCACTTCTCTCTACACCAAATCATAAAAGATCTTCCCAGTTTCCTCTGAATTGTTCATTGTACCATTTCTTATGGCACAACATTATTGCATTTTGTTCATATACTGTAACTTGTTTATCTATTCTTCGATAGGTCATTCCCTTAGTTTCTAATTTGGGGCTACTATAAAGAGCTGCTATAAAAAAAATGGAGGACATTAGCTGAGAGCTCCCTTTTCTCCTTATCTTACATCCCTCACATCCTTTCCACCCCTATCTCCTCCTTCACTTCTCCCATGAAGAGTAGGCCCTTCTCTTTGCCAAGGCCTTCCATATGGCCAAGTGAGCCCCTTTTATGCCGTCTTCTCCAGCATATTGTTCTTTCTATCATCCCCACTCTCTCACTTATCTTAAATCATTCTGTCTACTGATGGTTTCCCTACTGCCTACAAACATACTCATGTTTCACCTATCTTCAAGAAACCCCTCACTTAATCCACACATCCCTGCTAGCTAGGCAGCCCATATTCTCTTCCCTTTTGGTGGCTAACTTCATTAAGAAGGCTGTCTACTTTCTTTCCTCTCACTGTCTTCTTAACCATCTACATACAGTCTGGCTTTCAACCTCACTATTCAACTGAACATAATGTCTCCAGTTACTAAAGAACTCTTAATTGCCAAATCTAGTGCTTAGCACAGTGCCTGGCACACAGTAAGTGCTTAATAAATGTTTATTGACTGACTGATTGACTGACAAATCTAATAGCCTTTTCTCAATCCTCATCCTTGACCTCTCTGCAGCCTTTAAGAGTGTTGATTACCCTTGTCTTCATCATGATCTCTCCTCTCTTGGTTTTTGTGAAACTACTCTCTTCTGGTTCTCTTCCTACCTATCTGAATGCTTCTTTCAGTCTGCTTTGTTGGATCTTCTTCCAGGTCATGTCTGCTAACCTTAGGTGGCCCCCCCAGGCTCTGTCCTGGGCCCTTTTTTTTTCTTCTTTCCCTACTGTTTCATTTGGTGATATCACCAGTGCACATGGGTTTTATTATCATGTCTATGCTGATTATTCTCCAATCTATTGATCCAGCCCTAACCTCTTGGCTGACCTCCAGTCTCATATTTCCAATGGCCTATTTGACATCTCCAACTAAATGTCCTGTAGATATCTTAAATACAACATGTCCAAAACTGAACTCAATATCTTTTCCTGCCAATCCTTCCCCTTTCCTAACTTCCCTATTATTATTGAGGGTACCATCATCCTCCCAATCACCCTAGGTTCACAATGTAAAGGTTATCCCCAACTTCTCATTTTCTCTCATCCCCTATATCCAATGCCAAGGACAGTTGATCTTACCTTTGTAACATCTCTCACATATGCCACCTTCTCTCCTCTGACCCTACAATCACCTTGCTGCAGATACTTCCAGCCTGGACTATTGCAATAGTCTGCTGCTTGGTCTTTCCCCACTCCAGTCCATCTTGCATTCAGCTGTCAAAGTGATCTTCTTACAAGACACTCTATCTCACAGCTCTAGGCATCTTCACTGGCTGTTCCCCATGTCTGCATGCTCTCCATCCTTATCATTACCTCCTGGCTTCTCTGACTTTCTTTTAATCTAAGCTAAAATCCCACCTTCCCCAAGAAGACTTTCCCGATCCCTCTTAATTCTAGTTCTTTCTCTTTGTTGATTATTTTGAGTTTATCCTGACATAGCTAATTTGTACATAATTGTTACATATTATCTTCCCCCCTCCCCAAGACTATTAGCTCCTTGAAAGCAGGGACTTTCTTTTACCTTTCTTTTTACTCCCAGTATTCCCAGCCTACTACACAATAGGCATATTAACTCTCTATAAATATTTTTGTACATATGAGTTTTTTCCTCTTTATTTGGGTGATAAACTTAGTAGTTTAATAATCTTTTTTAGCACAGTTTCAAATTTCTTTCTAGAATAACTAGCTTATTTCACAGCTGCACCAACAATCCATTGGTGTGCCTGTTTTCCCACAGTCTCTCCAACATTTGCCATTTTATCAGTCTGATGGGTAGGAGATGGAACTTTGGAATTGCTTTGATTTATATTTCTTTAATTATTGGTGATACGGAGAGTTTATTTTTGAATACGGTCAGTGATAGTTTGGATTTCTTTCTTTGAAGGAGTCTTTAACTTAGCAAAGAAAGAACTATCAATATTCAAGAATGATATATATGTGATGAATGGACATGTGTATGTATATAACACAGCCTATTGACCCTAGAGTCAGGAAGAACCAAGTTCAAGCCCTGCCTCTGACACATAATAGCTGTGTGACCCAGGACAAGTCAATTAAACTCTTAGTTTTAAATTTGAACTCTAGTTTGAATAAAGTCACACTTCCACTATCAGTACAAAAATGTGCCTTCCTCCCACAATTCCTATAACAAGAGCTATTTTCCTCTTTGCAATCCATCATCTGGATGATGAGTATGAGTTCCCTTTTTTTGCCTTTTTTTTTTTAGTGAGGCGTTTGGGGTTAAGTGACTTGCCCAAGGTCACACAGCTAGTAAGTGTTAAGTGTCTGAGGCTGGATTTGAACTCAGGTCCTCCTGACTTCAAGGCCAGAGGTCTATTCACCGTGACACCTAGCTGCCCCTTGAGTTTGCTTTGATTTGCATTTTTTCTGTTATTAGTTATTTAGAACATTTTTATATGGTTGTTGATAGCTTTGATTTCTTTGAGAATTATCTGTTCATATCCTTTGAGCATTAATTTTTTGGGAAATGGCTCATATTGTCATTTTTTTTAGCCAATTTTTATATATATTGCATGTTAGATCTTTATTAGATAAATTTTCTGTCAAAATCCACCCCCCCAATTAATGGTTTCCCTTCTCTTTCTAACTGCATTTGCTTTTCATGTGCAAAAGCTTTCTAATTTTATGTAACCAAAATTGTTTACTTTATTTTTTATGATCATTTCTGTCCCTTGTTTAGTAGAATTTTTTTATTTTGCTGTAGTTGCAAAACATATCTCCTTCCTTTCTCAATCAACTATTTTTGTGATGTGACTTTTTGTATTTAGGTCAAATATCCATTTGGACTTTGTAGTGGTATGTAGAAAAAGGTGTTGATCCAAACCTAATTTTTTCCAGACTGCTTTTCATCACTTTTCCCAGTGATTTTTATCAACTCGAGAGTCTTATTCCAGTGGTTAGTGGTTTTGAACAGTATATTATTATATTCAATTGATTCTAGTTCTTACTTAACCTTATCTGTTCCACTGATGAACTTTTCTATTTTTTGAAGCACTGCCAAGTTATTTTTAATGAGTATTACTTTATAGTACAATTTAAGATCTGTTATTGCTAGACCCTTTTCATTCACCTTTTTGTCATTCTATGCCCTGATATTCTTGACCTTTTGTTCTTCCAGGCAAATTCTGTTATTGTTTTATCTAGTACTATAAAATAATCCCTTAGTAGTTTGATTGGTATGGCATCAAATCTATAAAGTAATTTTGGTAATGTCCCCATTTCTATTATTTTTGCACAGTACAACCATGGACAATTAACGTCTCTCAAATTATTTGTCTTCCTTTATTTCTAGAAGGAAGAAAAAAAGGAAGGAAGGAAGGAAGGAAGGAAGGAAGGAAGGAAGGAAGGAAGGAAGGAAGGAAGGAAGGAAGGAAGGAAAGAAGGAAGGAAGGAAGAGAAAAAGAAAGAAAGAAAAAAGAAAGAAAGAGAAAGAAAGAAAGAAAGACAGACAGAAAGAAAGAAAGAAAGAAAGAAGAAAGAAAGAAAGAAAGAAAGAAAGAAAGAACGAAAGAAAGAAAGAATTTTGTTCTTTCATTCATATAAGTCCTGGGAGTGTCTTGGTAGATGGACTTCCAGATACTTTATTCATTCTGCAGATAATTTGAATGTAATTTCTTTTTCTATCTCTTACTGTTGAGTTTTATTCACATTATACATAAAGGTTATTGATTTTTTGTGGATTCATTTTATATCCTGCTACTTTATCAATTATTAATAATCTTAGTTCACTTTTGGTTGGGTCTCAAATCCTAGAGACCATCTCATGGCTATCATCATTATATCATTTTCAAATATGGACTTTAATTATTATGTTTGTATTTATTCCATGGCATTACATTGCTTCTTTGGAGTGAATTACAGAAGGAGGACTATATTGTCTCAAGATTAATGTCTGAGTCCCTGAGGGGCAGGACTGAGACTGTGTTGGAGCTAATACTTTCTTTACACTAATTCTGTTTCTCTGCAGTCTCAAAGGCTCTGAAGACCCTTGGAGAAATAACGTTGTCTGGAGAGCTGGGAGAATCCATTGACATCAGGTGTCCATTGACGGAACCATCACAGAGGTATTATCTCTGTCGGGAGACTACGCCCAGACTGTGTACCACGGTAGTGTCCACTACACAATTTGTGGAGTCGGGCTATAAGGGCAGAGTCTCACTGAAGCTGCTCCCTAAGGAGAATGTGTTCCTGGTAGAGCTGAAGAAGCTGAAAGAAGAGGACAATGGCAACTATGCCTGCGGAATGGGCATGAATACAGAGAAGGGGAAGACCTGGAAAGTGATTCTCACAGTCACTCCTGGTAGGTGTCCTGGATGGTTGGAGACACTCATCTCCCAGGAAAGCAGATGGTATCTCCTTTCCCACTTGTAAATGTGAGGGCAACCAAATACTTGGATGAGGTCCCTCATTCTTTCAGACCAATGTTTCTAATCATCAATTCTCCAAGCTAAAGCCAGGAGTGAATGGGGAACCTGGATAATTGGGATGCACAGTAATCCCCAAGTATCATTTCAGCTACCAGTTTCACTTGCATCTAGCCTGAGATTTTCTTCTCAAGATGCTCATAAGGAGCAAAGTATATGCCCTTTATCGCTTTTACTTATTTTCTTGAGGAAAAACAAGTAAATAGGGGGCCAGCCAAAGGTTAATGAATAGGATAATATTGAGGAGGAGGTGGAGGAGGATAGAGAGAAGAAGAGTAGGAGAGAAGAGAAGGAAAAAAGAAGAGCGAGAAAAGGAATTCAGAGGAGAAAGAGGTATAGAAGAGGGTTTTAACCTGGGGAGAAGAAGGGAGAGGAAAAGATGAAGGAAGGGAAGAATTTAGGGAAAAGAAGGAAGAGAAGAAAAGGAGAGAAGAGAGTAAGAGGAAGAGGAGGAAGAATAGGAGAAGGGAATCCATAAAATACTATAATCCACAGTCTAGATGATTAATCCTTAAAAATTATAATTGATGGTGTGGGGGAGAGGAAGAGAAGGAGGTACAACGAAAACAAGTGTAAGCTAAGGTGTGATATAAGCAAGAATATCACAAATCTGGCTCATTACTTTAGAGTTATACCAATTGTAGCTTTCATGTGCCTCTTCTTCTTTCATCCCATTCCCCTCCTGTCTTCCTCACTTCTGTTAAGAGGGGTTGATGATCAGAGGGAACTTCCCCCAATCAACAGCCCTCCTTATTTCTTACACTACCTTGTAAGAGATCCCCTTCTGGGAAGCCTCTTTCCTCATCCAGTTCCTTTTCTTCTGGCCCTATGTCTCCTCCATGTACATTTCTTTAGTTTCAGTGGGCTTCATGCCACCCCACAGAGTATCCCGTAACTCTCTTTTCCCATCCCCTCCCCTACCTCCCATATTTGCTTCCCTTCCTCTAGCCAAAATATACAGACCTCATTCCCATGCCCCCAGTGCTCACCATGTCATCCTTCCCCCCTGAGCTCCCACAGAATACAACCCATTCAGGGAGGAACCGGACTTCTTTGAACCCCTTCCACCTCCCTGGTCATGGATATCCAATGAGGCTTCTTCTTTGCCCACCACCCGAGGTCAGGTTTGTTAATCCCATGGGGAAAGAAGTGAGGAAGGAAGAGAATGAGGATGGATGGAGATGGAGGAAGCAGGGGAGAAGGGGGGAAAAGATAGAAAGAGGAGGGCAAGGAGATGAAGATAGAATGGAAGGAGGGAGGGAAGAGGGAGAAGGGAAAAGTAGGGGATAAGAACAAGGAAAATTGGAAAAGAGGGAGGAAGAGGGAAAAGAGAAGAAATTAAAAAGAGGGGAGAAGGAAGAGAGAAAAGGAAAGAGGCAGGAAAGGAGGAAGTAGGAAAAGGGAATAGAAAGAGGGGACTTGCACTGTCCCATCCTCAATATCTTGTAGGGCCCAGGATAAGCAGATGTATTTAATTCTCAAAGGGGCTTGTAAGAGAGAGTTGAGTCACTGATAGGCCTTTCTTTTATGAAAAGCTAGCCATCTCCTCTCACCTTCCTGTTCAGTGTCCACACTTGACACAGCCCAAGCCTCAATCCCTGATTGCAGTGACTAGATATCAACACTAGGGGGTGGTGTGGTGGATGAATTAGGAGCACCATTCAGAAAATGGTGTCATTCCTTTGAATGCATGGTTGAGCAGAATAGAACCAGGACAGACATCTCCAGTCCAGAGTCTGGGTCCTTTACTGGTTCTCCCAGTCTCCTACAAGGCTCATTTGTATTTGTTGGCCACACTGGCTCTCCAGGGATCTATAACAAGCCTCTTATAACCTTGGGCTTGGCAAGCAATTGGCATTGCCATTTTCCTTAATCTCTCAGCAGCAAGCACTTCAGCACCAACGACCCCGCCATGGCAAACCCAACCACCCTTGGACCCTTCTCCTACCAGCTCTGTCCTGTCTCAGAGAACTACCTCAGCAGCAGCAGCAGCCACCTCCCAGACCTCCGGATCCTCTGTGGTCTCACAGACTCTATACCTAAGGAAACTACTCAGGCCCTCCACTGTCAGTTATTCTCATCACACCAGGCTACAGGGTGAAAGGTAAGCCCTGGCAGCTCATCTGAAAGCAGGGTCAGGGTCCTATGTGATTTGGGACATATCATGGAAAGATCACTTCACTCACTCCAGTGCTTAAGACCCCTCCCTAAAAGTCTGCCCTGTTAGAGCTGTCTCCAGAAGGCAGCTGTGGAACATCTGATTTAGGGAGTAAAATTATGATGACTGTGACAACAATGATGAGCCTTTATATAATGATTTACATTTATTATCTCATTTGATCTCATTTCACCATTAATAAGGATAAGATCACTAGTTCCCTAAAAGAGTGCCTAGAAGAGACTGAAGGAAGGACCAGTTCCTTTGGGTGGGAAGGGAGGAAATAAATATTTATTATGCACCTACCACGTCACAGGAACTGTGCTAAGCACTTTACAAATATTATCTCCATTATTATAGCACCCAGTTCACAGTTGAGGAAACTGAGGCAGATAGGTGAAGTATCTCGCCCAAGATCACACAGCTAATAAGTATCTGATGGCACATTAGAACTCTGGTCTTCCTGAGTCCAGGCACTATGTTCTATCCATTGTACAACCTAGCTGCCTCTAGATGGAGAGGAGAGAGGGAGGTCAAAAACAGCAGATTGTCAGAGATAGAAGAGAACTTAGAAAGGTTTCCAGAAGGATTCTCCAAAGAAGAGAAAGGCATGGCATGACTCCCAGAAGTACAAAGCTTTACCCCAAGGGCTCTATGATCAGCCAGTCAGAAGATGGGTCAAATCCCACCCTCTCCAAGTTCGTGAATCGAGAGGTCTCTCTCCAACACAGCCAAGCTAATCTTCACTCATTATAACCTAGCATTCTCCTCTACTCCATCTCCTTCCTCTGCTCCATGGGTTCCCAACCTTTTCTCTTCTGAGCCAGCCACTTAGGGCAGTTGTAGCCTAACCCCAACCCGGCTGCCAACCTCAGCAGGAATGCAGATGCCATTGGGAAAATCTGTCCCCCTCCAGCAGAGCCAACAAGAAAAAAAAAGTGTATTGATGGGGTTCAATATCAAAAAAGCTTAGGGACCACTGATCAAGGGCAAACCCCTTATTTTTCAAAGATGGAAACTGAAGCCCAGAGATAAGAAATGATTTGCATAGGGTCAAACTAGCAGAACTTAGCAGAATTGGGGTTGGAACTCAAGTCATGTGATTACAAATACAGTACTCTTTCCATTACACCATGTCAAGAACTTGGGTTGTCTGGAACTGGTGAGATGCTTCAATGCGGAATTGGGCAGAAAAAGGCAGTAAATGAGAGTACGTGTCACAGAAGATTTCTGACTATTGGCATGCTGGCAAATTTGGATTATGTGAGGATTGTGGGGATGGGGTAGGGGCACAAATTTAATTCTGCAAAAAGTCTTAACAACTGTCCTTAGGTCTTGACGACATCCAGTATTCCTTGCTTAGATCCACCTGCTTCTCTATACTCCCTTATCTACCACTCTCCCTACCCTCTCCAGTGCCTCCTACTTTGGATCATCTGTGAGAAAGGATGGCGCATTTCACATCCTGATCCCGGCCACCCTGGGCATTATCTTGATGATGCTTCTAGGAATGGTGTTGGGAAGATCATTGCAGAAGAGGAGAGGTAAGGGCTGGGGTCTGATTCCTGAGGAAAGCAGTGTTGTAGTGCCTGAAGATATATATTAGACTACCTTCTGCCCTGCCAAGTCAAGGAGCCATTGTTGGGCCAGGAGTAGAGTTAGGGGCATAATATCTACCGTGTGCCAGGCTAGGTTCTAAAGATCTAAAGACAAAAATAAACCAGTCCTAGTTCTCAAGTATCGTACCTTCTAATGGGTAAAACAACTTCTACATATATAGCTATACACAAAATTCAAATCAAGCAAATGCAAGGTAACTTTGGGAAGAAATATAGCAGCCAAGATGGGGTAAGGGTGGGGAGACACCTGGAAAAGCAGGTGACATTTGAGCCAAATCTTAGAAGGAAACTTGGGTGAAAGAGGTAAAGGCAGGCAAAGACCTGGGGAATTGGCCAGGAAAAGAGAAAGAAGGAAGAAAAGTAACCTTCTGAGTCTTCTCTACTTTTCCCATCCCTTATCATTCTGTCAGGGACCTCAGAGATCATCTAGTAAAGGGGTTCTTAATCTTTTGTGTCATGGACCCCTTTGGCAATCTGAGAGAGCTTATGGACTGCTTCTCAGAATGACATTTTTAAATGCATCAGATACATAGGATTCCAAGAGAAACATTAAAATAAAATTATCAGACTATTTTTAAACAAGTTCATAAATCCCAAGTTAAGATGGTCCAACATTAGGCCTCTCTTCAATGACCTTCTGGCTTGGTAAGATCTGACAGAGCTTGTGCTCTGTGGGCCTATCCTTTGAGGCCCCTGGTCCACTTCTAGGCTATGATGAGGCATTGGAAGAGGATTTTGGTGGGAGAGATGACTATGGTGTGCATTATTACATGACAAATCCTCAGAGTGGTATAAAACAAAATGGTATAGGTGAGGTCTGAGGAGATCAGGAGCCTTGATGGAGAATTTGGCCTTTGAATTAGTCTTTAAATCAGGGATCCTTTACCTTGTGTGTGTCATGGATCCCTTTGGCAGTCTGGTGATGTCCATAGACCCTTTTTCAGAACAATATTTTTAAATGCATAAAACAAAATATGTAAGATTACAAAGGAAATAAATTATGTTGAAATAAAGATGTAATTTTCCCCATCCAAATTCATAGACACCCTGAAATCTATCCATGTATCATCATGGATCCCAGGTTAAGAACCTCTGCTCTAAAGTATGGGCACAAATTCAACATATTGCAGCCAAGCTCTGACCCACACATACCCCCACCTTGTACAGCTCTGACCAGATGGGTAGAGTAAGGGCCAAAAGAGGAAGGAATTTGGGAAATCTGAAGTTGGCTTCATTTCTGATTATCCTTGTTCCTTTAGAGTTCTTAGAAGACTATGGGAGAAGAGATTGGTATCATCAACTCTTAGACATCTACCTACATGAGCAAGGCCTGCCATCCATTTACCCGGGATGAGGCCAATTGGTTAAGATCCTTCTTAGGAAGGAATGTCTAAAGACTTCTATAGCTATTGATCTCTTTTCCTCTCTCTCTCCTCCAGTAATTGCATTCAAATCTTGGCTCTGATACTTGAGATTTTTGACCATGACTAAGTCACTTAACCTACCTGGGCTTCATTTTCCTTCTTTGTAAAATGAAGGGCTTGGACAAGATGTCCAACTTAGTCCAAGGAACTAAGGTCCCTTCCATCTCTAAATCTATGACCCTGTGATCCTTCTTCCTGAGAAGCTCTTTCTAGGAGGATCAACAGATTGACTATGAGGCTGAGTACTCTGGAGGCCTCCCAGAGATCTCATTCCCACCTGCACCGCTCCCACCAGAGGCGCCTCCACTGGCCTGTCTCTAATAGACTCCGTTGTCAACACAACATCTACAGTGCTTGGCCACGACAAGTTCAAAGAACCAACCAGAATGGTGAGAAAGGATGGGAGAACAATTTTAATGCCCTGGAAAAATGGAGTGAAATTTGTCCAGGAAGGGAGGGGAGAGATCCTAGAACAGCACACTCTATGGGCACTGCTGAGGATGCCATTGGGGGAGGAAGAGATAAGAGGGCAGGGTGGACAAGTGATGAACTCACCTGGGATCATCTTTAAGGAAAGAAGGGAGGAAATGCTAGGAGCTTCCCATTTATTTGATAGTATTTTATTTTATTTTATTTAAAATTAACAAATACCAAATAAAGAAGCAGAGACAGAAAGAGACAGAGCAAGCATTTCCATATACAAAATACAACAGAAAAAGAGGATTATATATAAAATAATAATAAAGAATATAATAATAAATGTAATATATGATATAATAATAAAACAACAATAATGGATTGAGAGATGATAGATGATAGCATTGATGCAGTGCTTTGAGGTTTGCTATGTGCAGATATCTCATTTGATCCCCACGATAACCCTGCATTTTATAAAGATGCTTCAATGACCCTTTTTTATTTCTTTTCTTCCTATCACTACATTATCACAATCTTTCCTCTCGCCCCTAAGCCCTTCCCCCAATAAAAATCATAACTACATATTTTAATTAAGTTTTCTTGCTAACTAGGTGCTAAAAAGCAGTGTATTACAGTGGATAGAGAGCTAATGTCTGAACCAAGGAGATCTGGGTCCCGGTCCTACCTAGGACATATCCTAGAAGTGTGACCTTAGACAAGTCATCCCCAGGGCACTAGACAACTCTCTTAAGACTACAAAGAAAGTGCCAACCTGCAATGGTATGAGGTCTTTCCTCTTCCAGGAGTCCTGTATAGGCATGAAATTATAGGTCCAGTATCCATTTCCGACCAGAGGCTAAGATGAGGTGTTTCTATGCTGGAGGAAAATGTCTGCCAATCCTTTGACCTTTGATATCCTGGGACAAAGCCTGGTTCAATCTGCCCTAATTAAGGTTTTTAGAGGGGCATCCTGTCATAACACAAAGGTTAGCTGGTAGCAGGCAAAAATGAAGAGGAGTGGCAGCCTTGGGGCTATCTAGAATTCATGTAGATGGCTCCCAGATCAGAGTTTTAATCTGAAGGCTGCTTGGGCCTATTTTCCTTCTCCCCAGATTCTGTTGAAGCTCTGTCTCTGGTGCCTTGGCTCTGTCTGGCAATCAGTTGACAAGAATTTAGAAACTGAGGTCAATATAAAGTACTACACAAACTTAAAAGAGCTACATAAATGTTAGTAGTATCATCATCATCAGTGATTTAAGTGTCTATCATATGCCAGGCAGTGTACTGAGTGCTAGAGATACAAAGACAAAAATTAAACAATTCTGGCCCTCAGAGAGCTTATAGTCTACCAGTGGAGATTTTATATAGATATGTATATATCTATACACATATATGTATATATCTATACATACACATACATATACACACACATATATGTGTGTGTATGGGTGTGTGTGTGTGTGTGTGTGTGTGTGTGTGTGTATGTGTACAAAGCAGACCCCAAGGGACTCTTTCTGCTGCCATAGTTCCTTCCAAACACAGAGTTGGGAGATGGGACTCAAGAGGGAGAATGTTGTTAACATTGCCTCACTTCTATCCTATTTTCCTCTAGGTGAGCAAATGCCTGCCAGAGGCCCCAGAATTGAAGAAGCTTCTACTCCTACCCAGGTGAGCACTTTAGCTCCTCTGCTAATGCCCTGCACCTACAGAGAGCCATTATAACCCTTATCTCATTCAATCTTCACAATAGCTTTGTTGGAGGGTGTTTTTTTCCCTCTTTTACACATAAGGAAAATGGAGGCTTAGATTTTTCTTAGGCTAGTAAATGGCAATTGCCAGGATGCTAATATTTGTAAAGTGCTTAAGACAGTACCTGACACATAGTAGGTGCTATATAAATGCTAGTAATTGTTATTAAGCATAAAATTTAAAAATTGGAAGGGACTGCATTGTTCACCTGGTCTACACCATATTGGAAAGAATCCTGCTCTAACATCTCTGATAAGTAAGGGATCATGTAGGCTGTCCTTGAAGATCTCTAGGGTGGGGGAACTATCACCTCTTGAGACAGCCCGTTCCACCTGTTCAGGGAGAACTAGCACCTCTGGTGTAAGGCCTTGAAGAACCCTTTTCAGGGTCACTCATCTACCTTTGGTGGCCACCTGGCACCCAACTCTCACTTTTGGCTCCAAGAAGCCGTAGCATTTGCAGCAGCCACACCCCAATAAAACCATCTCAGCAGATGGGCTAAACTAGGTTGAGGGTAGTTAACAGGCCTCAGAACTGTTGGTGAGTTAGGGAGATGACTACCTCAAGCATTGTTTCAATGGCCATGAAGGTGGCAGAAGCAAGCACTACAGAGTCTGGTGAGGCATCAGAGCCACCAGGGTCACCCACTGCATCTTGGACCATTGCCAGTTTTCCTGACTTCTGTCTTGCCAACTGGACTTTGATGACTTTGGGAGAGAGAATGAGGCTGATGACTCTGTGCAGCTCTGCCTCCTTTAAATCCAATTCATGAGCAAGCCAAGACAACACTCTGTGATGTCATTAATCTTCTTCAAAAATGAAGGATGAACAGTAACTCTAATTAATTTTTAGGGAGTTGTTGGTGTTTTTTTTTCCCTGATGTCAAAGCTAAATTTGCCTATCAACAATTTCTATCCATTCCTTTTGGTTCTTTCCTCTGGGAGCAAACAGTTCTAATTAAAGGGCCCTCCAGTCACAGCGCACAGGTGAGCTGGCAGTAGGCAGAAATGAAGAGGAATAGCGACCTTTGGGATATTTGCAAGTCAGGGGATAGCTCTCGGGTCCAGAGTTCCATCCCAAGGCAGCTCAAGCTCAAGGCTTTCTTTCTTCTTTCCTAGTCCTTTAAGTCTGGCTCCATTCAGCAACCAAGCAACAAACATTTCTAAAACGAGACAAATATAAGGTGCTGCTCAAACCTTAAAGACAGCTTTAGAGCCCCGAAGACAGGCAAGCATGTCACATTCAGTCCTGACTCATAGAAAGCTGCCCTGCTGCAGGAAGCCTCAGGCGCAGGAGCCATAGGCTGTAAGTGAGGAGAAAACTGAGGCCCAGAGAAGTGATTCGTCCAAGATGACACATTAGATCCAAGGCAGAGCTGGCATTTAAACCTGGTTCTCCTGATGCCTACCTAGACCAGTGCGCTTTCTGCCCAACTGAGGCCTCAAGTATTATCTCCTTTGGTCCTCATAGCAGTCCTGCGAGTCAGGGGCTATTATTATCCTCATTTTACAGATGAGGAAACTAAGGTAGACTAGAGGTAAAGTGACTTGCCCAAGATCACAAGGCTCCTAACTCTCAGAGGCCGGATTTGAACTCAATTTTTTCTGACTCTAGGTCCTGACTCTATCCACTGCATCACCTAGCTCCCTTTTTCTTTTGGCATTTGTCTGATTGTGGATGGGGACCCTTATTTTCTGTTAATTCAGAGGTGGGAGAAACCATCTAGGGTCATATTCAAGTAAAAAGCAAACTAATTCAATTTATTTTCTTTTGAGAAATAGAAAATAATCACTTGATTATCTTTTAAAATTAATGGGAGAGATGTATTTAATTTGACTATATTTAATAGCCTAGGCAGCTAAGTGGCACGGTGGACAGAGCACCAGCCCTGGAATCAGGAGAACCCAAGTTCAAATCCAGTCTTAGACACTTACTAGCTGTGCGACCCTGGGCAAGGCACTTCACCCTGTTGGCCTCAGTTTCCTCATCTGTCAAATGAGCTGGAGGAGGAAATGGCAAACCACTGCAGTATCTCTTCCAAGAAGACCCCAAAGTGAGGTCATGAAGATTGAAGCGTGAACGACTGATAACCTCCTGTGTTTATGGGCCCAGGAGAATTTGCATTTTTAAGAGGATCTCACCTAACACAAAGACTGTGTCACAGGCCAGTGGAGATCATTTCTGAGCAGGGGGATTCCTAGGCTGGCCCTCCAGATCACCTCACTTACTGGGCACCTGTATATTTCACTTGCACGTAAGGCAGACCCTACTGGGAGCTGTCTGGGAACTGAAAGCATGAACAGAAACAGTTTGATCTTCATTTGCATACATCTGCTGACTTCCTTAGTTCAATGGCTATGGAGGCAAAGCTGGGCTCTACCACTCATTGCCAGTGTGGCCCCCATCACTTCGTGTCTTTGTACCTCAGTTTCCTGCTCCGGAAAATAAGGGGGTTGGACTTCCACATCTAAACTTATAGTCCCATCGTCTCTTAGACTTATAGAATCTTAGGGCTGGATAGATCTTGCTGGCTCAACCTCTTTATTTTATGGTAGAAGGAATTGAGGCCCAGGAAGAAAAAGAGACTTGCCCAAAATTACCTAGAAAGAAGATGCAGAACAGAGTCTGAACTCAGGTCCCCCGGGTCCTGGCTCAGTGCTTGCGGCTATACCATATTATCTTCTTAACAGAAGTTGTGAACCCCCTGTGTCTGGAGCATCTGAGTTGCTTTCCAGACTTGGAAGAGTTGTAGCTGCTGCTTCTCCCATCCCTGATGGACTCACTCCTGGCCTCTGGTCACTTTCTCCACACAGTGGCCTCAGGTTGGCCACGTGCTTCTCAACCAGGAAATCACAGTCATCTCTCAGGCCTTGCTTCCCTCCTTTTCTCTTTCTCACACTGCCTGCAACCAACAAAGAGATTCCCTTGAAAACTAGGCACAAATTCAACTTTAGTCACCTGATTTTCATTATGGTGCTTCTTTTCCTTTCTAAAATTCTGTTGACATCTTTTGTTTTGCTATCACCCATATTTCCCAATATTTCCCTCCCCTGACCTCTCCCAAACAGCCATCCCATATAACCAGGGGAGTGCTAGTAAACATTTAACAACTGGCTCTCTGGGGTGAAAAATACGCACGTCACATACTTTTAAGTTAAAACTACTTTATCAACATTTTCTCCATCTCTTTCTTAAGTCTAGATAGCCAACAAAAAAAACCCAACCCCTAATTTATAGAATTTGCCAATTTCTGAGGTGTAAATGCTCACACTGAACATTTAACAACCAGCCGTCATGAGCCAGAGCAAGCTGGCTCCAGTATACTCCTGCTTCTATCAAGGAATAATAAAAGAGAAGAAAATAGTTCAGAAAGCTAACCAATGCATCAACCAAATTTGACTCTGTATTTGGCACCAAAGTCCAGTCCTGCCCCCATCTCTACAAAGAAGGGAGAGAGGTATATCTTCATACACCTTCTTTGGAGTCAAGCTTGGTCATTACAATTTCCCAGCATTCTCTTTTGATTATTTTCTTAGTATGAGCATACTGCCAGGCATACGAATTAGGAAACTGAGGCTATGAAAGGTGAAGTGATTTTCTTAAGGTGATTCAGCTTCTTAGGGAATCTCCTGACTCACAGTGCACCACCAGTATAAATCCTCTTTTTAAAAGGTGGAATATATTCTAAATGTGCTAGGGAGCTTCCTAATTAGAAGTTGTCTGTGATGAATCCTTCCAGGAAGCAAAGAAATGCCCCCAAACCAAAGTGATTGCTAGCAGTATTACCTCTGAGGCAACTACTACCCAAAGAAAGCAACACCCAAACAAGGCTGCAGTCACTAGCATACATTCCCTCAAATCCAATGTGTAATTCGTGATGTGGAAATAACACAGGAAGTCATTAAGACAAATTCAGTTAAATGGGAGGGAGAATTAGTTACTGCAGTGCCTTAGAAGCTGGAATTTCATCATTGGAAGGGACCTCAAAGGCCATTTGGTGCAACCCATGGGATTTGGGGTGCCAGGCTCTTTCTGTTCCATTAGAAGGGGACTTCTTGAGATACCCTGCCACCCACCATGGGAGAAAGAAGGTAGCACTGGGAATGTTCTTCCTTTTTGCTAGGGATAAGTGATACTACTTAAGAAGGAAGAAGAGTATGCTGGGAAAATAGAAAGGGAAGAGAAAGAAGGATGGAGATGGGATGAGGATATTTTTATAGAACAAAAGGGAGAAGATGGACAGTCTGCAGTCCAGTGTCCCCATAGCTGCCCACATCCTGAACATCTTTTATATCAATCCCCAGTAACTCTTTGAATTTTCGTTCCCTAACTCCTTCTTCGTGGAAGGAGTAAGTTTTTATACTAATTTTTGAGACAGCTAGGTGGTAAAATGGATAGATCACTTGGCCTGGAGACCTGAGTTCAAATCCAGCTTCAGACACTTACTAGCTGTGTGACCTTGGGCAAGTCACTTAACTTCTATTTGCCTCAGTTTCCTCATCTGTAAAATGAGGATAAAAACAGTGCTTTACACTAACAGATAATAACAACAGCCTGGTACTGTTATAAGGATTCAATGTGATGAGATTTGTAAAGTACTTAACATACTCCCTGGCACATAGTAGATGCTATATAAATGCTAGATTATTAATTTTACACCCTGGGGCAAAGTCTTCATCACCCCAGCCTAGTTATAGTTCTGCCTTAAAAATATATATTTTATACATTTGCATATCCTGGGAATGGCTTAAAGGGAAACACACATATCATGAAAAGACACTACCTGTTGGTTATGGCTTCCCAAACACATCATCTGTACCACGACTTGCATTTCTGTATTTGCTTCCCCAGCGCCAGGTACATAGCAGGTGCGCAGTTCACACTTGTCGGTTGATTGACCAGTAGCAGCACGTGCCTGGCCCAGGGTTGGAATCTTCAGAGCACCTTACCGATAAGGAGCTCACACTGGGAACTGATATTCTAAAGATCTCTTAGGCAATCCAATCCAGTGAATATTTATTAAGAGCCTACTGGGCAACCGGATGGTGAAGTGGATAGAGCACCAGACTTGGAATCAGGAAGACTCATCTTCCTGAGTTCAAATCCAGCCTCAGACATCTTACTTGCTGTGTTACCCTGGATGAGTCACTTAACCTTGTTTGCCTCAGTTCATCATCTGTAAAATGAGATGGAAAAGGAAACGGCAAGCAACTCTAGTATCTTTGCCAAGAAAACCCCAAATGGAGTCACAAAGAGTCAGACAAAACTGAAGAACAATTGAACAATAACAAAAAGCACCTACTATGTGCCGAGCACTGTGTGGATAGGCTGTGTATAGCTTCTCTCCCAGGAGGGGAATGCTGCCTTCTCTTGGTATCTCTACTGTGGCCTCTGAAGTCCCCTCAAACTGTCTTTTAGCCTTTTCCAGGAATGAATACCTCATTAGCAAATTTCCTAATGCACTATACCATACCATAGGAAAGGCGGCGCCTGACTCAGTCCGACTTCCTAATTACTTGCCAAGAAGGTAGATATTTGAATCATGTGTCATGCAATACAGCCCTGGAGGGATAAAACTTTCTTTGGCTCTAGTCCCTAGCAGCCTAATGTCTGGTAATTTTAGAAACCCAATTCCTTTTAAGGCAATCCCCTTCCTGATTGGGTCTATATGTTTTCTAGATTCCCAGGGTAGGATTACCTTCCCTGAAGCAGGCTTTGGAAATCCCCAGGACATCACTGAGCACAGAGGCCAGTGAAGGTTCCTCATCTTCTGGAATCAATCAAACAATCAACAAACATTTATTACACACCTCTTACTATGTGTTGGGCTAATCGGGGGTGGGGAACCTGCAACCTCAAGGCCACCTGTGGCCCTCTATGTCCTCAAGTGCGACCCTTTGAATCTAAACTTCACATAAAAAAATCTGCTTAATAAAAGGATTTGTTCTGTAAAACTCAGACTCAGTCAAAGGGCCACACCCAAGGACCTCAAAGGCTACATATAGCCTCAAGGCCACAGGGTCCCCACCCCCGGGCTAAGTGCTAGAAATATTGTGCCACCCCCCCAAACAAAAAGCCAAAAGTTCCTTCCTTTAAGGAGTTTGTGTTCTAATAGGGGAGAAAGCACATACATAAATTTATAAGAATAATACAGAACAGAAGGAAAGTAGCTGTAGAGGAAAAGGTACTAGTTGTGGGATGGGGAAAGTCCTCCTGCAAGAGATGTCTTAAAATGGCGAAAAATTCACAGTTCATAGGCCACATGCTCTGTTGCCCTCTAGGGAAACTGAGCCTCTGTCACCCCACTCAGTCCATGTGATGGTTCTTTGGTTGTTCTTAGGCTTCTAATACTGTCCAGGAACCGGTCCTTGTGAAGAATGAATACATGAGCACCTATCACCTGTGTTGTGCTGAGCCAGAAGACTGTGATTCACATGATTACATCAATGTTTCCTGCTTGACTTAGATGCCCAACTGCCCTCCAGACCTGGGCTTCCATGCCGACAAGGCTTGCCGCTGAGCTGTCCTCAGAACCGACTCTGCTCTATTTCTGGCACATTCTGCATGCCCACCCCAGCTGTTTTCCCCAGGTGGAGGCAGGGGCTCTGTCTTCCCTGAGCACAGCCCATTCATACCCCAAAGCTTCTCCTACTCATCTCTGAAGGCCACTTTGCTTCCATGGAGGCTAGCAGTTAATAAACATTTATTAAGTGCCTACTATGTGCTAGGAACTGTGCTAAGTGCTGGAGATATAAATATAAAAAATAAGGTCAATGCCTGCCCTACAGGAACTTACAATCTAAAGGGGAAGCCAACACATAAAAGGAAGCTGACAGGAGGTGGGGTTAAAGGGAAGGAAAGATGGGAGAGGGGAGGAGGATGATGATGAGGAAAGCCAAAGTAGAGTAGCCCCTTGGGAAATGAAGAGATGCTTGGCCTGGGGACCTTCCTTAAATGGACGTTTGGGGAGGAGCTCTTGGCTCCAGGAGTTCTAGGGGTAGAAGGTACAGATGAGGTGTGAGAACTGCTGAGGAGGTCTAATTCATGGACCCTTTCTCCAGACTTTGGGCTTCTACAAACTGGACTCAACCCTGGCAATTCCCCTCCCTACTTTAATCTTTGTCTCCTTGGCTCGTTTTACCCCCATTCAGAGCTGCCTTTGGGAAATCTCATAGTATAGCTTGAATATAGCTCGCATCCAGGTATCAACAGATAAGGGTAAAAAAGGTTCCCAGGTTCTACATAAGCACCCAGTAACAAGGAATATATTGGATCTAGACCAACTTCTATTCTGCCTCCACAATAAATGCAGAACATAAATAAAGGATTCAGAGTAACCCATAAATAATGGGTCTCTCCCCCCATCTCTGGTGAGTCTCATTTTCCCCAGGGCCCTATATTGTCTCCCAGGCTCATAGCATCACTCTACGGCCTGTAGAGCCCTCAAACAAACAAGCAAAAAAAACCCAACTCGAATATGTTAAGCAGGCAACTCTCCCCTCTCCACATACATAAACAAAAATATTCTATTGAGTCACACTTTTATCCCAGAGACCCAAATAAATATTCAGCTTACAGTACTATATTGTTCAGTCATTCAGTACAATCTTTCTGACTCCATTTATTTTGTTTTGTTTTGTGTTTTTGACAAAGATGCTGGAATGCTTTGCCATTTCCTTCTCCAGCTCATTTTACAGATGAGGAAACTGAGGCCAATAGGATTATGACTTTCCCAGGATCATCCAGTGAGTGCTGGATTTGAACTCATTAAGATGATTCTTTATGACTCCAGGCCCTGTACTCTGTGTCCCATGGCTGCCCTTTTAGTACTGTACTGAGGGCTTTGATTCCCCTAGGAGGTAAAAGCACTTAACAGATACTGAACAGGTAACTCTCCTAACATTCCAGCGAGTCCCATTCATACAAAAGAGACACATAACATTCTCTAGCCTTACAGCGTATCGAGAAGGAAAATGAACGTGGGGTCGCATCAGACTGGTACCACCCAAATAAATCATATTAATTGTGTCTGCAAAGTTGAAGTCTCTCCCACCTTGTGGCTTTAGGACCTTTATCCCCTTCTAGGTATGGACACCACACATGTAATCCCCTCTTCCCCAAGAGGCTCCATTTATCTCTCCAGAGGACTGGGTTCTGCAACTTTTGAATCTAGGACTGATGGGAAGGCAGCCCTGAAGCTGGTACTGCCCTGGAAATCCTCCTTCCTCTGTCTAGGGGCTGGGCTCAGGAACTTCCATCACTTGGCTATGTGGCCCCCCTAGCTGCCTCTGCAAGGCTAGGGTCATGAGATTGGAGGCCAGGACCTGTGCTCTCCAGCCATATGGGTGAGAACATGTTCACCTCTGATATACCTGTGCCCCAAGGCAGCTGTTAGAAGTTCCCAGGGGCTACAGGTAGAGCCTGTGGGCATACACAGGCCCCCTTTGCTGCTCTTTCCCAGGATCTAGGCCCAATTTTAGTTTTTTGGCTTTCTCAGGATGTCTCAGTGATGGGGGCAGGGGCCCAAGCCAAGATCTTTGCCCCTTGACCCAAAGGGAATCTAGCTCCCATTTGTCTACAGATCCCAGCTACTCATCTCCCTTTGAAAGCCTTAGCCCTGCCTTTTGGCCTCACTCAGATGCCTTCCAGTTCCCTTCATTATGGGCCCCATAAAACACTAAAACTTTCAGGTTCCTTATTGACTCCCCTTATCTCCCTTCCTGTTCCTTCCATTATCTATTCCCATTGTCTATTCAATCTCTGAGACCTTCCAATTGGAATTCTCACCTCGACTCTTTTCCCAGACCCCTTCTCTGGCCACCAAAGTTACTTCAGTGTATAAAAATTCCACCCTGGCCCCCATTCATATGCTGAGAATCTCATGCCCAAAAGGCTGAGACTTTCTCGTGCCTGCTCATCCTTACAGGTGTCACCTGACCTAAGTGTTTTATCACTAATAAACTTTTCCTCTGGCTGGAAGAAGATTTGAGTTGAATTCATTCAGATAGGGCCCAGCGTTGTGATCTTGGGGGTTCCCAGCAGTAACTCCAAAACCTCTAGACCTCTTCATCAGGAAAAAGTAAAATCAGTAAAAAGGACCAACTTTGTAATTCACTCCTTTTGTTATAGGCCTGGCACAGAAATGGCTCTTTCAACAACAGTAAGCGCCAATCAGTTCTATCTCAGTTCATCAACACTGACTTGAGAACAGGTCAGATGGGCATGGGAGATAGAATCAAAACCATAACCTTCACCTTGCCTCGAGGTAACCTTATCAAATTGGACAGGGACCTCCTCTGATCAACCCCTACATCAAGTTATTGTGGTTCAGTCACTTTGGGCACGTCCAACTCTTCATGACCCCATACGGGATTTTCTTAGCAAAAATACTGCAGTGGTTTGCCATTTCCTTCTCCAGCTCATGTGACATTTGAGAAAACAGAGGCAAAGAAGGTTAAACAACTTGCCCAGGGTCTACCTGTCAGTCCATCCCATAGATTTTTTTTTTCTCCTGGGCTTCCAAAACAAGGTCAAAGTCATCCAGAGACATGTTGATTTCCTATCAGCTGCAGAGCTGAGTCCAGTACTGCTCTTAGAAGTAGAGATCACTCTGCCCTTCCCACTCTCTGGTCTACCTCTCCTCCAATTATCCTTGGTTGTTTTTCCCAGCTCTCCTATCTTTCCTCCCTAACTGAAAGCTTATTCATTAATGGAAAGAAGTTGTCAAGAGGCAACAGAGGCATTTTATTAACAGAGAATGGCATTTAAAGAACAGGCTGTCCCAGGGAGTGTGCTAATGTCAGCTGTCTGCTCTGGCACTACCATCTTCTCTGAGAACAGTCAGTGGAACAATGGATGAAACAGGAAATGAAGGGATCAAGCCTCTAAAAAAGGGGAATGAATTGCAAAGTTGGTTCTTTTCATTGCTTTTGGTTTTTCCTGAGAGATCCTGAGAAAGCAGAAGAGCTAAAATTGGACCTAGATCCTGGGGAGAGGGGAGGTCTCTTTGAACTTCATTGATTACAGTGAAGAGCCTGGACTAAGGGTCCCAGGCATGGGTAGTCTAGGCTTTCAGTGGGAAGATCTAGAAAAAATGTAGACTACCCTAGCCCAGTGTTACAGCTCTAACAAATGCACCAAGGTCAGTCTGCTCTCCAAATCTTCAACTTATAAAGGTCACAGATGTTATTAAATTTCTGGTAACAAACCTCCAGTGCCCCAGGCAACTCTCCAAGACTATAGATTGTGGAATACTTGGTGATCTGCCTAAGTAGTTGGAGTTTCCTCACCTGGAGTCCTCGATGACAATTAAGTCATGGCAGGGGTGGGGGAGGGGAGAGGAGGAGAAGAAAGAGGAGGACAGAGGGGGAAGAGGAGGATGACAATCATTAAGATGTTGATGACAACAAGGAAGAGGAGGAGGAAGAGAAGGGGAGGAAGGGGATGAAGAGGAGTAGGAAGAGGAGGAGGAGGAAGAGGGAAAAAACAGTCACACCTTCAGTTCAATTCAGTATTTATTGAGCACCCCCTGGGATCCCCCATCACTGTGCCAGACACCACAGTGGACACAAGAGAAATATTTAATCCATAGATCCAAGACCCAGTTCGAAAGGGACATCAGAGGCCATCTAGTTCAACCCCCTCCTTTTATAGGTGAGGAAACTGAGACCCAGGGAAATTAAGTGACTTGCCCAAGGTCACACAGGTGGTAAGGATCAGAGGTAGTATTTGAACCCTGGTCCTCTTATAGTCCTCCCATATAAATAAAAGGGGTGTATAGTCTCCCAATATAAATAAAAATAAATTATTAAATACATCTGGAATAAATACAGTTTACAACTAGCCAGCATTTTGTCATCTGCTTTGAGAATTATTCACAGCAACTTAGTGTAGCCTCCCTGAGTAGACTAGCTGAATTGTGGCTACTAAAAAGGGAACATAGACAGGCTGGGAGCAGCCTGAGCACAGGGCAACATCACTGGCAGGAAGAAAGGACACATAGAAAAACCACAGGACGGGACGTGGCACGCAATTGAAATGGTGGGGAGTTTTGGATAGCAGGTGGGCTGCTGTATCATGGCCGAAAGGCTTTCTCCATCCAGGCTAAAAGAATGTCCACTTCTCCCAAGGCTTTTGTCAGCCTCACTTCTGGGTTCAACTAAAGGGCAAGAGAAATTAGGTATTAGCCAAGTGGAGGGTGCAGTGCTAACCACTGAGTTCTGTTCTGAGTCTTGTTTTCTCCATCAATAAATAAAGGAACTGGGTAGATGATCTCAAGGATCCCTTGCAACTCTTAAATGCTAGCTGTGAAATGAGAGGCGGCAAGCCCCAGGGCAAGACGAAAAAGAGGAGAGAAGAACCACAAGATAATCAAGTGGGGGAGAGGGGTAATAATAGCCTCCCAGCTGGAAAAGGGACAGAAGATGAGACAATCACACTCTGTGCAGTCCACGACAAGTGTAAGTCAGCTATACCCACTGACCTCCTGATCCATCCTGGTCCAGTGGAAAGGGTGTTAGATTTGAAGTCGGAGGAACTGGGTTTGAATTCTACCTGATATTTTCCAGATAGATTTCTTTCACTGGAGCTTGCTGCCTCTCATTTTTGGCTGGTCACATGTATAACTCAGCGGGCATCATTTTCCTTTCCTATAAAATGGTGCTAGGCTAAATGAGCTCTGTGGTCCCTTCCAACCCTAGGCCTATGCTTTTATAATTTCACATATTTCCTGGAACGATACTAATGGATCCACCTGCTCTGAAGTCTATCATTGAGTTTTTCATCCTGTAGAAGCTGCTCAACACCTACCAGGCTAACAAACTCCTGATCTTTGTTTTCTACCCACCCTTCAGTTACCCCATTCCCCAAGACTTCAGACATACCTTTGTAAATTCTTGCTGAAATAGCTGAAACTTCCTTTGGGAACTCTCGCTTAAAGAAAACATCCCTCTTTCCTTCTGCAGAAGAGGAAGAACAAGAGAATTGGGGTCAGTGCACAAGTCTCTTCTCCCTCCCTCCCTAGATAAGGACACTTTTTTGGGTGGGTGGGTGGAGGGACATATAGGTTCTTAAAAGCACCCAATGGATGGTTCTGTGACCTGTATCCTCAGTGTAGCTACCGAACAGGGAGGAAGTTTCTTAAAGCTGCCACCCCTAGAGGCAATGTGGTACATTGAAAAGTGCATTTAGTGTCAGAGGCCCTGAGTTGAAATCTTGACTCTGACACTTACTCCCTATGTAATCTTGAGCAAATCCTAAGCAAATTATATAACCTCCCTGAATCTCATTTTTCTTGCCTATAAATTGAAGAGGTTGGATTAAGTGACACAGTGGCACAGTTGGATTAGGTGGCTGGCCTGAAGTCAGGAAGACCTGAGTTCAAATCCAGCCTCAGACACTTCCTGGCTGTGTGTCACTGGGCAAATCACTTAACCTCTGTCTGCCTCAGTTTAATCAATTGTAAAATGAGTATACTAACTGCACTACCTCACTGGAATGTTGTAAGGATCAAATGAGATATTTGCAAAGTACCTAGCACAGTGCTTAGCACATAGTAGGTGTTTAACAAATACTTGTTCTTACCCCCCACCCCAAAGTCCCTTCTAGCTCTAAATCTATTATTTTATTATCTTATAAATTTTTCCTGATTAATCTTGACCCCATCCTGGACTCTCCTTTAGCCAATTCCCTTCTGTTCTTCAGCTCACTAATTTTGCTGTGCTGACTTTTCATGCATTTCGATGCGTGGGTGTTTACTACAGTCCCTAGAAATGCTAGATGGCTCACAATCTCCATGAAAGTACAAACTGAGACTTCTTTTTGTTCTAGATCTTCCCACTGAGAGTCTAGTACGGGACTCCCCACACCTGGGACCATTGGTCTGAGCTATCCACTGTGATCAGTGAAGTTGGAAGGGACCTCAGGGTTCATCTAGTCTCACCCATGTCTGAGCAGGAATCACTTCCACGGTATCCCTAATAAATAGTCATCCCACCTAATGATGAAGATCTCCAATGATGAGGAACTCACTACTTCTAAAGGCAATGATTTAGATATACTCCCCATTCTCTGCACATTTATAACTCCACTCCAGCAACTTTGCCCCTGTGTGGGTGCCATTCTGCTTTTCAGTTCTTTTCTCTGGGTTACCTTCCTGCATTAGAATATAAGTTCTTTGAGGGTCTTTTTCTGCTTATATTCATGTCCTCAGCAAATAGTACAGTGTCTGGCATATAATCAGTGTTTAATAAATGCCCCATCTATCTATATCTATACCTACATTTATAAATCTACTTCTCTCTGTCTCTGTCTCTGTCCCTCTGTCTCTGTCTGTCTGTCTGTCTGTCTGTCTGTCTCTCTCTCTCTCTCTCTCTCTCTAACTACATGTCCTCTGAGTAATGAGGCGATAGAGAGGGGGGAGAGAGAAGACCAAGCCCTCCCTGTCCAAGGTACTGAGCTCACTAAACACTGGGTCATTGTTTGTGTCAGTGACAGTCTGCAGAAGCAGACACCCCTGGACCCAGTCCCTAGCCCTGGGCCCCACTCACACAACCCTGCAGCTTCTTCAGGATGGCAAAGAAGTTGTTGGCCAAAGTAGTGAATGGTGTCAAGATCCCAAGTTCCTCTGCCTTTGTGTGGTACTTAATGAAAACGTTGCTCAAATAAAAATTCAGCAGGGAGTAGTTGAGGTGACAGATTTCAGCCAACTGGAGAAAGAAGGCTAGTTAGTACCAAGGTCCTCCATTCTGTACTCTTTGGTCCTGGATGTTTTATACTCCCTGAATCCATTAGATTGGATAGTAATTGTGTCACCTAGGGCAAGAGATGTGGAAAGAGTATACCTAGGTCTTGAAGGACCCTAATGATAACTTTCTACAACCAAGGAGAGGAATCTCTGGGAAATATTTGGGAGTATTGTCTTTTTTGAGGAGGTAGCTGAAGAAAGAGGTGAAAAGAGAGAGAGAAAAAAAGGAAGTGGGGATAAAAAAAGAGAGCAAGCTCTCTGAGGGTGGGCACTGTGTCTCATTCATCTTTGTATTCTCACAAAGGCCCAGTACTTTGTACATAGTCAGCACTTAACAATATGAGAACCAGTCACATCAAGTGATAGAAAAATGTTACTATCATTTTACTCTGAAATAAACATTTTCATCTTATCTCTATTTTCTTTGTCTTATGAATTTTAAATATGCACTCTTAACTGATACAACTTGGTTCTTTGAGGTGTTCTTAAATTCCAGTCCTTCTATGAATAAATGTTTATTGAATGAATGAATAAAAAGAGGGTGAGAGATGTGATCAAGAGAGAGAAAGAAGGAAGTGATAAAGGAGGGAAAAGGAGGAGACAGTAAGCTCCTTGAGAGTGGGGATTGTGTCTCACTCATCTTTGTATTTCCATAGCATCAACAACCGTGCCTTGCAAAAAATGTTCATTAAATAAATGAATGAATGAATGAATGAATCAGTAGGGGAAAAGAAGGATCAAGATGAAGAAAGAGGAAGTGAGAGAGGAAGTGGGAAAGAGGTTGGGGTCATGATCTAAAGCAGACATGCGGGTCGTATACACTAGAAAAGATGAAGTAACAAGTTGAGATAATTTTCTGAATAATGTAGGCAGGATGTTTGTGGGCTTGAGTTTCTGTCTGCATCATCCCCAGTAACTGAATTCACCAGCCTCTGCACTGTCTATAAAAAGTTCATCCCCAATCCAGAGGTGAGGGATTTTAGTCTCTCCAAAAGATAGATCAGCCTCTCCCAGACTCCTAAGTCAGCCTGAGGCAGACCAGAGCCATGAAGCCAGGCCCTGGGCAAAGAGATGTGGTGCCTCCCACTTTTTCCATCCTGCCCACCGTCCTGAATGACCCATTTACCGAGGCATTCCGGAGAAACTCCTGCCGCAGCAGCCGGACGTCTGTGTTGTTGTCCAGGGCTTGCTTGGGGAACAGAAAAAGAAAATCATGCTGGAGAAGGTAAATAGAGCAGGAGTAAACTTTGCAAATAATTTGCCACACTCCTTCAGCAGTTAACATGCTACTCAACCCACCCAATGTAAAACCAAAGGAAAAATGGACAGACTGGCCTAAGGAAGTGAAAGCCTAGGAGTCACACCATGAATGGGAAGTCTGAAGGGGCTGCTTTTTTGTGTGCCAGCACAAAAGACAAGTGCTTCTGGAAAATGAAATATTTAGGTAGTTGCTGACCCTGGGCAGGGCCTATCTGACCTTCCTCAGCTATTCCTCTATGGGTCCAGAGCGGGATATCCTAGGATCATCAATTTTTAGAGCAGGGAGGAGCCTCAAAGACCATCTAGTCCAATGCCTTCATTTGAGCTTGGAGCTACCTGAGTTTGGCCTAGAGCTTCCTGGGCCTCCATTCCCTTCCTGGCTCTGCTTCTGACTCTCAGGATTTTACCATGATGCCTCAGTCACCTTTTCACACCAGGACTTCCTTCAGCTCTTGGGGTCTTCTCACTCTGGAACATCCCTTGGCCTCTCTAGTTCCCTTCTCCCAACGGTAGCTTCCTCACAGGGCCTCCATCATGGGGTCAGACCCAACTGGCCATGCTTCATCCCCCTCTCAGCTCTGCTACTGGTTCTCCAGATTTTATCCTCATGGCTACCTTCCTAACCTCTCACCTCTTGAACGTTTCAGTTCCCTTTTGTGTGTTATCTTTCTCAACTAAAATATAAGCTCCTTGAGAGTAAGCTCTACCTTTCCTTTTCCTGCATTGCTGCCCTCAGATAGCACAGCACCTAGCATATATTAAGATTTTAATAAATGTTTGTTGCCCTGACTTGCCTGACCTACCCCAGCACTTAGAGATGCCATTGCCCCATTCCCTGATGAGAACATCTTAGATTTGTAGGTTTTTAAGAGCTGAAAGGGATTGTAGAAACTAGCTAGTTTACCACTATACCCATTTTACAGGTGAAGAAACTGAGACAGATTGCCTTGCCCCAAATCTCACATCTAGTTAGTGATGGAGCTGAGATTAGAGTCCAGGCTAGTGTTCTTTCCATCTCATTTCCTTTCCCATCTTAGCATTTTACATTTTGAGCCCCCAGTCATTGCCACTGTACTTCCTACTCCAAGGATTTATGATATTTTCATTTAATACTTTCAACTGAGTCTCTGGAAGCTCAGGAGAAATGTACACTTAGATTTTACATGTTGTTCCCACATCTCAGGTTAGCCACCTCCATCCCTTCTTGGCCCATAATTTGACTAGGTAAGAAGGCAGGAAGCAGCATGGACCCAATAAAACAGGAAGATCCTGGGGGCCTGAAAATGTTATTGTACTCCCCATCCTCTTCCACCAATTTCTCTCTAAGTGGCTAATGCCTGGAAGATCTAGCTCCAGTCCTTTTGGGTTCTGCTTATGCCACCACAGGCTCATGGAATTATAGATTTAAAACAGAGACAATCTAGTCTAACTCTTTAATTGGGCAGCTGGGGAAACTGAGGCCCAGAGAGATTAAATGATTTGCCTATGGTCAGACAGTGTCAGAAACATGATTTGAACCCAGATCATCTGAGAGTAAAACCAGTGATTTTTCCACTGTGTAACCCTGGGAGAGTCACTTAGCCTTTGCCTGCCTCAGTTTCCCCTCTGGTAAAATGTGGTTAATAATAACACCTACCTCCCAAGGCAGTTTCAAGGATCAAATGAGATGATGTTTGTAAAGGACTTAGCACAGTGACTGGCACATACTAAGCTTTTAATAAATGCTTATTCCCATCTTCTTCCCCCCTACCACATCATTTTCACAATGAAGCCCTGCTAGGCTGGGCTTACTTTACTTACCACAGTGCTCCTTATAGACTGGAAGGCCCTCCATAAGTCTTGAAGAATTGCCCGTTGTACCCAACAGTGTCCAAAGTGGAATTCTTGACCCTCAGCTCCCAGCTCTGTGCTCCAGAGAAAGATGAGCAGAAACATGGAAGAAGAGAAGACAGCCATCTGCATTTCTTCCTACTGCTGTAGAGGAATGAATTACTCCTGCCAGAAACAGAGGGAGCTGTCATGGTGTGACCGAGGTTACCACTCCTTAACTGACCACTAGTGCATTTCAGGGGAAAAAGACATTGGGTCTTTGGTCCCAGGTACTGAAGTCTGCCAATAGTAGGATCATGGGCACAAAGAAACCATTGTGGGAAACCTTTATGATCAGGGAGTCTAGAGCTGTGTTTCCCAAACTTTATCACTTGGTGGAACATTTGTGAGTTCTCTGAGGCATACTGAGGGATCGATCAGTCCACCTTCACCCCCCCAGGGTCATAACTAGGCATTTTGGTACCGGGAGTGATGAGCACAAAAATATTTTCAAGTCAACTTTGAGAGGCAAATTATGTCAGGAACAGGGAGAGACCCTGAGATATAAGGGCCATCTATGGAAAAACAAAGACCTTGGAATACGTGAATGTGAAATTATGGAAGAACAGATGAGCCTGAGCCAGTGAGGAGCTCACCTGTATTAGTGACCAGAGTGAGTAGGGATAAGGAAAAAGTATATCTTGTAGCTTCCTATTTTAACTAATTCTTCATGCCAACTCAGCACTAAGACCATTTTTTTCCCTATGATGCTGAAGGAATGTAAGCACTTTAAATACCTTCTAAATTTCAGTGCCCTGGGACAAAGCCCTGGTTATTCCATCCTAGTTTTAACTCTCTTCTTTCCTTCAAACCTTGGTCTATCAATCTGTCTCTCCATACCTACCACATACAACCATTATATTATATGCTTCCATAGAGAGATCTAGCCCTAAGGGTCATTGAAGCCTGCACAGAGTGGATATTTGTCCTTTATACTTGCCGCTCTAAGACATACCATTTCTATAAGGTATGCTTTTGGGTGCCTTCTATTATGAGACACTCCAATACCTAGTTCACCAGGTCCTTGGACAAGTCTTTTGTGTGTGTATGTATGTATGTGTATACACACACACACACACACATATATATATACACATGCACACACATTTTGCTCTTCTCCCTTTTTTCTTCACCATAACTATTTTTATCTCCATTCTATTTCCTGTGAGGCATTAGGCAAGTTGCTCTACTCTCTCAATCTAGTTTCTTCATGTGTAAAATGAGGGAATTAGATTTATTTTACATCTAAGGTCTCTTCTAGCTCTAGATATATGGTCCTATGACCTCCCATGGCAAAAAAAAAAAGGTAACATGGTACACAAAAATATGCATTAAAGCATGCATTTTGGGAAATAGAGGTCTTGAGGTTTGATTGGGTCTCAGGCCCCTCAGTCTCTCACCTTTGGCCCTACATACAAGTAGGTCCTTTTCCTTCCTAAAGGTTTATTTTCCCCATTTCTTACACAAAGAGAATCATTCCTACTAGGCTCTCTGAGGGCAGGTATTGTACTTTCCCTAAAACCTTAATATAGTACTCAGCACATAATAGATGTCTAAGAAATGGTGATTTTTAAAAAATATTGTCTCTGTCTTTTCCTCATCTATAAAATGGGTATACATCTACCTTCAAGGGTTATTGGAATGTTCAAATGGGATAATGTATATAAAACACTTTTCCAACTTTGAAGTGTTATAAAAATGCCATATTAAAAAAAAATTCCTGCCTTCCAGGGCATTGAGTTCTGACTGAGAGAAGTTAAAAAAAGAAAAAAGAAGAAATAGCTGTCAGAGGATAGGAATGGGTAAGAATGTAAGGATTATATACCCCTATTGCCACCCTGACTCAGTCCTGACTCTAACAACTAGGTTTCCAGGAAAGAAAGTAAGAAGTCAAATTTTCAGATGAGTCACTTTTATTAAGCCTTCCCATTAAAGTTGACTTGCTTTTAATAAAGCACAAGAGGAGAACTGAATTTGTTAAGAGAATAGGCTATAGAATCATAGTCTTCTTGCTGGAAGATACTTTAGAGATCACTTTAGTACAACCCTTTCATTTTACAGATGGGGAAATTGAGGCCCAGAGAGATGAAATGACTTGTCCAAGGCTACCCAGGAAATATGTGGTAGAGACAGGCCTTGAACTCAGATGTTTTGACTCTTAATCTAATGAATCTCCTGTTGCAAAGACACTATTTCTCATCTCTGAAGCCAGGTAAAAATTCAAGTCATTTTCTACGAGGTTCCAAAGCAGAAGACAGTTTTCCAATGTCCAATCTTTAATCTGGGCAGGATGATAAGAAGAAATATATATCTATAACGATCACAGATGTCCCAGATAAAATAGACCTGCATAGGTCATTGGGTCCATTACCCCACATCCAGACAGGTCTGTCCTTGAACCAACCCTCTCAAACATCGCTGTTTTCTCTTCTTATGAACTTCCAGACTGAGAGATTCTGCAAATTCAATACACTGTTTCTTTCCCACCCTGTTCTAGCTAAAGTTGTTCCCTCCTGTACTGTGCTGGGTTGAACAGTTCCATATAATACCTTTGTCTGGATGCTTCTTAATTTTATCACACCCAAAATAGGCTGATAATAACGGAAGCAAAAAGTCAGTGGAACTGTTAACTTTCCCTTAAAGGAAAATATTCACCAAGGAAAATCATGTCCATTACTTACCTTGGATTCAGGGAAAGGGACTTGAAAGCTTGGTGCCTACCTCTGAGACAGAGGCCCCGAGAATCTGTGATTCTCTATGGACCTAGCTGTCTGGTTTTATAGAGGAGGAAGGATGAGCACTTTTCGTGGTGGGTACCTTTGTACCTATCAGGGATGTATCAGTAGCTTGGAATTCTCTCCTAACCCAATTGAAAGTCATTTCATGCATTTATATGTACACATTTGTGGGACTGTCAGGCTGGGGGTGGGGAGAAAGGACTCTCAATCATGATTAATTAGAAAGTTACTTCACTACCTGGTAAGTTCTCACTTCCAGGCACCTGGGGCATGTTAGCTTTTCCTTTACAATAGCACAGTGGGGGAGGGGTCTGAATAGGCTGGATTGTCCAGGATAATGTTCCTGTTGTGGCTTCAGTCTAACTCTGAAGTCATCCATATGGGATAACGTTTTAGCCTTTGCTTTCTTGGGGGAGGATTAGGAGAAGTGTCTGGTTGCAGGCTCATAGATTTAGAGTTTAGAGATCATCTACCCATCCCCTCATTTTACAGATGAGGAAACTGAGAGGCCAAGAAAAATTAAGTGACTTGCCCAAGGTCACACAGCTAGTACATAACAAAGGATTAGCACTTACAGACTCCAGCTACAAATTCATTGACCTTTCATTTTTACCACTCTGCCTCTGTCCAGTTCCCCCTTTTTACAGATGACAAATTTGTGGACCAGAGAAGTTAAGGCTTAATTCCTATCATTCCCTTTAATTCACTCCCCAAACTTGTCTACCTCTATTCATTGAACTTATTATTACATCTCCCTTCTCCTATCTCCCATGCTTAGCCCAGGCTGTGCACCATCCCTGGAAAGCACTACCTCATCACTTCCCTATTTTAGAATGTTTAGCTTCCTTGAAGGCTCAGGTCATGTGAAGGCTCCTTTGGGGATCTTCTGAGCTGATTAGCTGTTAATGTTTTCTTCCTCTGGATGAGTGGAAATGGCAGGGATGAAAATGAGGCTTGGAAATCCCAGGGAGTGCTGAACTAGAGGGGTTTAGCTCTTCCCAGGATCCTTGCTGGTGGCCCAGTTTGAAGGTCTAGACAAGACAGTATTGATCAGGGTTGGGGAACCTGTGGCCTCCAGGCTACATGTGGCCTTCTAGGTCCTTGGGTGCAGCCTTTTGACTGAGTCCAAGTTTTACAGAAAAAATCCTTTCATTAAGGGGATTTGTTCTGTGAAGCTTAGATTTGTTCACAGTACAAATGAAGTTTGGATTCAGTCAAAGGGCCCCACTTGAGAACCTAGAGGGCCACATGTGGCCTTGAGACCCCAGGTTCCCCACCCCTACCTTAGGCTGACATAGACAATCTAACCAGAAGTATGGTAGATAGAGAGATGAATAGAGCATCTATTAAGCACTTACTGAATGCCACACACTGTACCAAATGCTGGAGATACAATACAGAAAAAAAAAAGAACAATCCTCACCCTCAAGAAGCTTGCATTCTAATGACGGAAGGTGGTGGTGGTAGTGGTTGTCCTTCGTTCTTGAAGAGGACCAAAATGACATCACTATGCCAGAGTCAAGTTTCAGTGGCTGATCAGACCGACCACAGGTTGGGTATAAATAGTTCATGTGAACATTTGGGGTGGATTCTCTAAAATTTCACATCCTGTGTTTCCTTTGAGCTGTTTCAATTCTGCTTTGCTCACAGAGCACAGCACCTTCTCTGATGTGGGCACGCCATGCTGGGCGGTCCTGTGCCAACGTCTCCCATGTCACACAATCAAATGAGGGAAGGTAATATATAAAAGAGAGTTGGAACGTGAATTGGGTGGGGAAAATACTGGCTATGAGCCAAAGCTGCTGGGAAGAGGTAGAAAGATTCAGAGAGTGGGAGGGAGGGAGCAAAGAGTGAAGTGAACATGGATGGTCTGGGCACCTCATTAAATGGTGATCCAGGCCAGAGACTCGCCAATCAGAGGGGAAGACCACAGGGCTAGAAGTATCTTCAGGGTGAGTTGCTCAGGTTAGTCATGCTCACTCACTCACTCCTGGCTCCCAAGTATTCATCTGGAACCATCCTTCCCTTCTAGATACTATTCAACTCTTCATCTTTTGTCATTTTCTTCCTACAGTAATTTAGATTTTCCTACAACTGTGTGACTCTGAGTAAAATCACCTCCCTGTCCCCTCAGTGTTCTCTGCCAGGACCTCAAAGACCTCTTCCACCCCTCACAGCCAATAAGCTTCTTTCTCTATAAAGTGAGGGAGGTGAAGTAGATGGCTTCTAAGTTCCCTTCTAGCTCAGAACCTATTATCCTATGACACCTGAGCTCTCTCTGAACCTGGCACACTTGTTTTAGGAAAGACGAGGTCGAGATGTGATGGATGAAGAAAAGGGGGAGAGGTGTAATGCACAGGTAGCAGTTATTATTCCTTTGATCCTTGT